CTTTCATTCAAATTTTTTTGTTTAGAGTGTTCCTAGATATAAGTTTATAATATAGTATATTTTTATGCTGATAGATTGAATTTTTCCCTATGGTTGATTTTCTCCTAAAATTATGCGATTTTTTAAAGATCCTGTGCTGAATCTTTTCTTTACCTTAATTTGTTTGAACAGGAGCTGTCATTTTTTTTTCTTATCTTTGTTTTATTAACCAGTTTATTTTAGAGATATGTTACAACTTAGTTGTTTTTTTAAGGATATAAATTCCTTTCTTTCCTTTTTTTTTAGCGAAAACTTTTTTTGACGCGTTTTGCACTTATTCTTTGTGTGTAATAAATGAGACTGATCCGTCACGCCGAATATGTAACGCTTATACGGGTAAAGTCGGCTAATTGAGATGTTTTTGTATTTGGATTGAAATATCTCAGAAAATAAAAATCGGAGCTGCATACTGTAAGCGAGTGAAATGTTCAGCATGTCATCCTCTTTGTAATGAGCTATTATCCAATTGTGTCTTTACGCGATGCCGTATTAGAGAGCAAAGAGGGAAGTAGAAAACCAAATGATAACGTGTTTTTTTTTTAACATTTGGATTAAAATATCTTAAAATTTAAAAATCAAGGATAATTCAGGAACCGATTTGCAGCCATTATTCATGTATTGTTCAAGTCATTATAGATGTATTGTTTAAAAATCAGTATTAGATTTTGATATGCCGAATGATCCAAATGAAAGCGCAACTAAGTGTAGAACTAAACTGAGTTTTCGTTAGATATTTAGCAAATAGGTTTAAATCAAAATCAAATAGAGTAAAATATGATACAAATGACGATCAGTCAGAGCATAATTTACCAAAGTAATCCAGACACAATTATAATTGTATGTATTGTTAATGTTATTACGTTGTGAAGATTGTATTAAAAATATTGTATAAAAATTAAGTCATATTATTAATCCCACCTTATTGATTTTTACTTTCACTTACCTACATATGTAATATAGAGTAAGGGAAGGTATTGTGATCGTAAAAATTTCCGAATCTGAGTTTTCAACGGAAATACACGCTTTGAGGTACACTGAGTCCAAATAACCAAGTCCCGCCAAATGGTCTATGTCTGTGTGTGTGTATGTTAGCGGTTTAGCTCAAAAACTAAAAGTGTTACGAAACTGATATTACGTATTTAAAATAGGTATATGCCTGAGATGTGACAGCAACTTTTTAACTTCTATTGCGTGGTCTTAAGCACACACACCGTAGTTTTTTCCGTCAGTTTCTTATATTTTAATGATCAGTATAATTGATTTCACCGTGAAAGATACTTTTAAGGAGTACTTATCAGTAATACAGTCCTACAAATAACCAAATGACCTTTTTTTTTTTTTTCTTTGTTCACTATCTTTTGTAATTTTACAGTTTATTGATATTTTATTAATTTCAAGTTTATTAAGGTAATGATTATTGTTGATGTTATTTTACGCTATCATTTCCTATTTTGTTCCACGTCTTTATATTTTCATTCTTATATAATTACTGTTTACCATTAAAATACCATTTTCCTCTTATTGTGTTGAGAACGTCTTAATCTGAGTGTATGCTGTTAATTCAAGGTCGCATTCTGCAAGATAACAGTATATTTATCAACTTCGTCTACCAAGCACTAAATGCAGTTTCTTGTGTTCATATCGATTAATTTATTCGCTAGGGCTGATTATACCTATCCAATAATCCAACGTAAACGTCTGCACACAAGGAAGTGAATATAAATCCCGAATTTTAAAATATGAAAGTAATGATAAACCATTACAGTAGAATAAAATTTCACACAGGTACTTTTACAGCTTTGAGAAAACAATTGAATTTTTATACACTTGGATGGGAAATAAACATTATGGACGGTATAAAATACATTTAAATTATTTATCAAGTGACACATTTTTTTTCGGGTTATGTGTGACCTGACATACCAGTTGGTACTTTTCTTCTTGCCTAACAACATGTATTACTGTGTACGTTTATATCTGTTTTTTTTTCTGAACGTTCGGTATTTGTTTGAAACTGTATCTGTTCAAAACAAATCGAAGTTATCTAGAAAATTATCATAATAATGATGCAGTGTATTATAAAGGAGTTAGAAGGATACACTTAAAGCAGATATGCTCGCTAAATGCATTATTCACCAAAGAACTAGGTTACCTTAAACCACGTGCGATCCATAAATGAAGCTAGAGTTTGATTTGTAGAAAGAACATCCTCTTTGATTCCAGGCACCGCGTGGTTTTATGATAACTAGATGGGACAATGGCATTGTAATAAGTTAACGGGCCAAAATCAAATTGACAGGACAGAGAGAGACAGAGTAGTCCGTAACACTGTTATGGAAACAAGAATAAAGTAGTTATGATTTTGTAATTTAAAGGCAATTTCTCTGTTGAGATGGAGGAAAATAAAAGTTTTCTTGGTTTCTATACAAAATATTTTGTAATTTGTCGCTTGATCGAAGCTGACAGTTTGACGAAAGTAATTAATTGTCTAGTGAACTAGGTGATTATCTCCATTACCTAAACTATGCTCTGTAGTCTCATCCTGTTTATATGAAGTTATTATGGATTCCTGTAAAACAGCTGCAGTTTGAAAAATATGAATATCAGTACCTTACAGGTCCTTCAAATGATTAGATATCATGTAATCAGACTTTTCGACATAGAGGCTTTTCTATCAAGAAGGTGGGCGGCAGTTCACCTTTTTCACTTCTCAGCTCGGCGGGCTAAACCGGAGAAAACACCATAATACTACAGACCAGTAACACGGATGGGCACATTTTTATTGGATGAATGTGCATATTTTCGAATGACTGAAAAGTAGGAATGGACTTTGGTTAAAGCTCTTTTTTAACACCTTTTAAATATGCAAACAATGAAACACAATTGTAAGTATTAAGTCCGCCTTTCGCAAGTCGTGTCCACCAGTTTATTTCCATACTCCATACCACTTCCCCTCTCCGACACAGTTCGGTACCTTGGCTTCCTTCTAGACAAAAGACTAACATGGAACCCACATAACCAGACTTAAGACAACAGCTCAACAGACGATATGGCCAACGATATAGACTACTCAATAGAAAATCTCAACTTTCAGTTGAGAACAAACTATTGATCTACAAGACAATCCTGAAACCTATCTGGACTTACGGACTCGAACTGTGGGAGACAGAAAAACTTTCTAACATCAAACGCATTCAATCCTTCCAGTCTAAATAGTCGATGCTCCCTTTTATGTAACAAATAAAACCCTAATATCCCATTTGTACTTGAACTTATCCCAGACAAATTTTCCAAATTTCAACAGAATCTCACTCATTATCCTAATCCTGTAGCAAAGTCTCTATCTACCTCCCTACAATCATCCTCGGAGGTTAAAACGGCAGTGGCCCCGCGACCGTTTGTAAAAATGTATATATTGGAGCACTGGCACTGGCCAGATTCTTCACTCATGTCCTGATTGTCTGTTGCTCTAGTGCCCTCTATCAGTCTCCACTGGCTTACTATACCAGTGACGCGGCTAGGAGAGAAGCACTGGGATCTCCTGGAGGCCTACTTTGGCTTCCACAATAGGGGAACAAAGCTTGATTCGGAGTCCTCTGGGCTACTAATGTAAATATTGTACATAGGTGTGAATGTGTCTTATTTATTTTGTTATTATTCAGCTAATCTGTTATTTTAGTTATCTTGTATATTACTTTATCTTTATATATATATATATATATATATATATATATATATATATATTTTTTTTTTTTTTTTTTTTTTTTTTCCTTTCTTATGTAGATATTGTGTGAATGAATACTATAGCCCTAGTACCAATGCCCTTCAGTGTGGCAGACTGCATTCTGTATTCAGTGTGCAGTGCTCAATAAAAAAAAAAAAAAAAAAAAAAAAAAAAAGTTCGCGTTTAGTTAGTACTCAGTATATAACTTAATTTTGTTGAATAATTTTTATACATTCTTGGTCTCTTGCAATAATTGGGTCCTATCACGTTCTCATGTTATTCTATTTGACATGATATGCCCCATATTTATGAAAGCTGCCTAATTAATTATCTGACCTAGAATGCATTTTGTCAGCATATGATATTCATCTTTTAAATATAGGTTGTTGATATTTTTCTTTCAAAATTTATGATTTAAATTACAGTGGTTGAACATGACATGGTCGATCTTTTTACATAACAAGTAACCAAGATACAGGGCAAGTGTACCAATCACCAACATGTACCAATCAACACCTCAAAAATGCTTCTCCAGCTTTATACCAATATGTTATTTATTATACAACCATTCTCGATCTTTTTGCACCATTATATCCATATATTTTTTCTTAAAATAATATGAAAAAATATTGGAAAAAGCCTGAAATCTTAGTTCCAGTTTTCTTTAGATGTTTGTCAGTTATCAATATGTAAGTGTTCCGGTTATTGACACCTACTATATTGCTGATAGGAACGCATTCTATCTTATTTTGGAAGTTTACTACACGTTTAAACTTAGGAATATGAAAACAACGAATTTTGAGCAATCATAATGTGAAATCCTTAAGTAGTACTCGAATTTCACTCATTAAAAATATAGCAACTTCTTCAGACCCTTGAACATTAGGATAGGATCTTTAAGAACATTTCAAACATTATCCAATTTAAAAAAATACAGTTAATTAAGAAACATTAGGTAAGTTAGAGGGAAGTAACATTTGAGAAATAACTAATGAATATTTATCAGGACTTGAAAAGGAATATTGATAACATAGATATACAATTGCGTTGATAGTTTTTGAGGTATGTATGGATCGATTGAATAACGTCAGCCATTCCCTCTTCGATGCCACTAAATGATATGCTACCTTCATATTTTTGTATTCATATTCTTTGTATATTTCATCTCCCAAGCAATTCTTAATCTCTTGAAACCATGCCTAAGCATAATTCTTTTTAACTCGGACCCGGATAGTTGTCATGCTCTCACAGAAACCCAAGATTCGTTCTCATAAATGCCGTCAGCCATTTCTGGTCTGCTCTTTGTTCTAAAATAAATTTGAGACCTGCTCACCGTATTCACAACACGCTCTACACATGTGATGAGCTGAACGACGATGATTGAAAAACATCTGGCTTCCTCTTCACCTTGGTCAACCTCTTCCCTTCCTTTGCCCCAATAAGCCCATTTTTCAAACGACTGGATTTCTTCGTTTTCCTTCATCTGTTAGAGTATGACGAAGAACATTGTACTTCTTCAAAGCTGTGTCAATAGCCATACCTTCAATTGCATAATCAATCGCTGTAATCATTTCTTCTACTGGTTTTTACCAATGGTTCCGCGCCGCCAATCTTCTCTTTTTTAACGACGTTCCACTAAATAATAATAAGGATCTTAATTATAATAAGGATTAATAATTAAGGATCTTATTTGCATCTTATAGGGGATGCCCATGTCTATGGCGTATAAACATATTAACATTAACTGTTAAGATTTTATTTCGTGTTTTGCCATGATATGAGATGTAATTGCCCAAATACACTTTTTTTTCATTAAAAAAGATTAAAAATAATGATTTTGCAAGTAAGGTGGTAATGAAATTGTGTTTTTCTCCATTATCTCTGTGATAGGAATTGATTCGAATTTGTAAGGAACAAACTTAATATTTCTAGTCCTTAAATTTACGTTTAAAATAAAGAAACCTGCTGATGCTTCATGAAAACATTAATTTCAAAACTAGAAATATAAAGTTTGTCACTTTTATATAAGGATCCATTTCAATTCATTTCAACAGCTTTACATGAAATGTCATGATATTTAAATTTTTTTTTCATAATGAAAAGTGTATTTTGACAATTATGTTTATTAGAATACATCCCAGATTATGGGAAAACAAGAAATAAAAAGTTTGCAACAATTGACTGTTGTAATTTTTGTTGAAAACACGGGTACTTCTTAACAGAAATTAGCTTAGTCGCTGAAAAGTCCTCTTTAAATGGTTTTAATAATGACAAAATCTATTGTCGTTTAAAGTAAATTTTATGAGGAGGTGGTCGGGGGGACACATTTCAACAGGATTGTAGATTTTTTAAATGACAAGTTTCAGAACAGGGGACTATAGGAAAACATAGAACAGACCACTGGAAGTGTAATTATAGATGACGTATAATTTTTAAAATTCTTCCGTAGCTTGAAACGTAATGTAATAATACAACTGCTATTTAGAAGAGGAGACCAGTAAAATATCTTGGGAGGAAGGGAAAAGTTCATGCGCCTGTCTACACGCATGCTATTATAGTAATATACTGCTTCTTAGGCCAGTGACCAAAACTTCCTAGCGAACACTGGACCTAGTTATTTTTCTCTATTATATAAAAAGGTTTTTAGTTTATGTCATATTCTATTTTATTTTACTTTAGCATTAGGAGCATAGGAGGATACAGGAGCTCTCCTACAAGCTCTGTTATTAGCACTAATTACACAGCTGTTCATTTAATTGCATATGTATTGAGCTCCTGCTACCTCATGATGCAAAATAAAGTTTAGCCTAAAAATTTGTATAGAAAATTTTATTTATTCATCTGAAGGTGGTAGTTTGATTTTACCCAGGTGACAGTATTTTTCGATTTAAACATTTTCATTTGACCACAATATATTAATTATCATTATTATGAAATGGTAAAAAAGCACAATATAACAAACAATGAAAATATTTTAAATAAAAAGCTTAAATTATTGTTAGGCTTATATGAAGCTGGACAAGTTGAATAAATAATAATGTTACAAGAGTTTTAAAAATAATTATAATCTTATAATAATATAAATTTGAAATAAGCCGCGATGTGTATTATAGATTTTTAAAGATACTACAAATTTTTCCGAACTGAGATTTGGTTCACTTTATTTTATGTTGATAAAAAATAATACAATCTGAACTACAGAATACATATAAATTAAAGTTATACGATTTGAGCAACGAGCAATACAATTAAATGATCTGTTCTATAATTTGTAAAATAGGATTTGGTCAGACGTTAACATATAATATATCCCCTATTACATATATAAAACTGAAAAAAAAAAATGGAATTCATATTTCATATACCGGGCAGGAGGTAGTCCCCTAGTTTAAAAAAAATCAAACAAGGTTATGTTCTGCAGAAAAGAAAACAACTATAATATAAACAAAAACTCCAATCGATCCTTTGAGCAAAAGATGATAACCCCTGGTAGTAACTGTTAACGTTTTACCTATTTTTCTGCAAGTCCAAGTTTATTACAAAACAAATAACGTACATACTCAAATTACAAGAAGTACAAAAAATCTAAAGAAAAACGACAAAATATGACTAACTTTCTTAACAAAATTGTTATGCTAGCAATAGATCAAACAACAAACACGGATAGCAACTCCTTATCCGACTCACGATCTGCTGAATATTGATTGTGAATATGCAACTGTTATGTGCAATCCGAATTTATAAGACGCCATATTTTTAATCGGCTCCAAGATATTACTTTTTCAATGCAAATCTCGAGTGGTGACAACTACCTCTACTTTGTTAAAATAAGATTATACTCCCAAAATTGTATTTTATTAGTATAATATCCAACATTTATATTATATTATATGTAGTCATCAAGGCTAAGCCATGCAAGGCATAGAAAAGGGAAGAATAAACACAGTAGTATTAAATGGCGAATATAGAATGATAATATTTTATGGATACAAATATATGAAAAAATGATAATATGTTTGATATAAAATATAACATTTTTAATTTCTCCTTTCACTTTGCTCACAGATGAAAAAATAACAATAATATTTAATTTAATAATTTATTGATGTTTTATTATTATTTTTATCCCCTCTCTTCAGCAAAAAGTAGGGTAATACGGAGTCGATAAGAAAATGTTATTGGTATTTCTGAACTCAAGCTATGCACATCAGTTTTGTCCCTCTTATCAGCATATAGTATCCGTATCCGCAGGATGTTCAGTCATTGACCAAATTTACTTGGACTTATCCAAAACTTTCCTCCATATTATAATATGTAAGGTATATGCTGAAGAGGGAAAACAAAGGATCTTCAAAATGTTCAAATAATTTTAAAAATATAAACAATATTGTCGTTTAATGTTTGTGTAGAACATACTCTCACTTTTTCTTTACTTTCCCTGTCTACATTTCAAATATCTTGTTTCCTCCTTCACAAAACCCATTTACTCTTAAAGACTAGAATGGGATGAAACGAAGCAGCTTAGATAGGATGAGCCAGGTAATAGACATAGGATAAGATCGCCAAAAATGATATGTGAACAATCCCTATGTCATCCAGGACTCAACAAGCTGTACAGGCAATCCACAGACCTTGCAGGGATAGGTGATCATGAGGCATTGTCAAACTAGAAAAAACTAAAATAAAGTTGCAATAAATATATACAAACGAATTTATGATAAACCAATTAGCCAAGACAGGTTGGTCGTTAATATTTCAACGTTATGAAATAAGCAATTTACGATAGGAAGAATAATTCGCCGCATTTGAAATCGACTATGTCCTTGTACTTACATAAGATAATTATGAAGCTAGATACCACAGACCCTCCTGCTGAGTTATCCGGGATTAAAATATGATATTTATCATTGGAAATCTTTTCCCCCCGTTCCGCAAATAACTTTTCAGTAGACTAAAAACCAACTGCCCCTCTGAAATCTTCTAAACTTAAAGGTTGATCGAATATTATACAATAATATTAAAAAATTATAATAATTATAAAAACATTACACTGCTGATGAACTAAAAATCACGGACTATATTAAATCCAGAACCTTTTGTTTTGTTATAAACATACATCTATATTAATAAGGAGGTAAATGTTCGTTTATTCAAAATCGCTAATCTCCGAAACATATTTACCGATTGCTTTGAAATATTTACATAATGTTTCTATCGCATTCAGGAGTGTTTTTATGTATATTTAATCACCCTCCGGTCTTTCGTTACGGAAAGGCGGCCGAAAAACCTCTGTCGCTATAGACTGTAGCGCCTAACGGCTGTAACGATTTTAATTATACTTTGCTAAAGTCTTCTCCTTGAAGCCCTTTTCATTTATGTATGTAACATCCTTTCCCGAGTCCGAAGATGAATTATGAAGAGTATCAAAAAAAAGTTAAGATGGTTTCAAAACTACATTTGCGAATAACTCAAAAAGTACTCAATTTTTGTTTGATTATGCCCATCATTATTTGAAATCTTTCTTGATTTCATACAAAATGATAAATAAACAAGATCGAAAACGAAAAGAATTATCTCCGAAATGAAACAATTTGTAACGGCCAAAGGAGGAAAGTGGGTTCAAATATTTTTTTAATGAGGAACGGAGTTGAGATTCTTATTTCGCATCTCGACAAATCCTCAAATACAAATTTTCATTGCAATAGAAAAAAAAAATTATATTATACTTATAATATAATTACTTCCTGCAAATAAAAAACAAAATCATTAAAATCGGATGGCGTGGAGATATAATGCTTAAACATTTAGTAATTTTTCTCGGGAGATTTAGAGACCGATTGCTTCTTATATAGACAATTATATGTAGCGAATTCTAGAATTGGAAAACCAAACATCTATCTCTATATCTACAAAGAATGGAATAACAAAGAATATCGTATATTCACAAGTATTGTTACATAAAATATATTAGTAACATCTCATATCTTTTCTACTTCTCTTTTTATTTAACTAGAATGAGCCTCAGCAACGCGTGGCCGGGTACAGCTAGCAATTTGAATAAAAATTGAACTTAGGAGGTTCTGCTGTAACCAGTATACTTGTAGATTTATTCTTTCCGTTTTTGTCATATTTTTATTTGGTTTGGAATAGACCCGATGAAAGCTTACAACGTAGACCGAAAGGTCGACACGAATCATAGTGTTGTAATAACTTACTTTTTTTTTTTCCCCACTCCCCCGATCATGGTCAGAAATTCACAGAAGAACTTGCCATTTTATAATTGATATTTACATTTAATGTTGTATAAAACATTTATCTCAACTGAATTAAGAAATCTTCGTGAAATCTCATTATGTTTGTTATAAAATCTGACAATTCCGTGGTTCAATGTAAAAAAAAATTCTATTTTTGAGCCAAAAGCCTCCCCCCCATGGATCCGTCAGTACCTTACATTTATATTAAAAACTACTCTCTTCCTATTTG